AAAAAAAAAATGTTATGATTTCATTTATCTTACATTCTATAATCATCATCTAACTTACTACTACGTACTACTTCTTACTACAGTAACTGTACATGTATAAATGGTTTTCAAAATTTGAAAGTGTTAAAAAATAGTCTATTTTTTCACCTTCAGTGCAACACCTTATTATTTCTTTTCCATTCTTTATATTAGGTATTGGGAGCTTATGGACTTGCTTTTATGGTGATTCTCCCAATTGCAGTGGTAAGCAAAAATACTGCAATGTATTTATAACATTTGCCATAATTCTACTTAACCAACAAGACTAAGTAAGACTTAAATTTAGGTTAAATACGTTTTCCTGTTATTTTCTTTTTCTTTTTTCTTTTTTCTTTTTTATTTTTCATTAGGGAACCTGGTGGTACAAGTCAATTCAGTACAGCTGTGAACAGATTCTACTGGATACTACTCAACTGTACTACTACTTCTTTCACAAGACACCTACCATGCAGACTAAACGTACGTAACGAAGAAGAGTCGACCATGTTTAAAAATCCAATGTTCATACATTAAAGCTGCATGCATGCATATAAAGAGCAGTAATCAGTGGTTTCAATAACATTTTCAGCTGGAGGGCAACTGGTTTCACAGGGCAAAACCTTTTGAACTGAATTTCTTTATAAGAAGAAATTTCCCCGAGATGGTCAAAATTGGGCAAAACCATTTTCTCAGCTGGTCAATTTGTCCGGTGCCTGGTCCTTATTGAAACCCCTGAGTAATTTGTGTCACAGATAACTGTGTAAATATTACAATACATATATCTTATTAGACGTTTTGGCGTGTAGTATCGCTGTATATTTTTATGAGTTGTGCTGTATTTTGACGAGCCTGTAGGGCGAGTCAAAATACAAACAACAAGTAAAAATATAAAGCAACACTACACACCAAAACTTCTAATGAGAGATTTATTATTCTACTGGTGTAGTCAATAAATTTATCAACGTAAGAGGGAGAGTGTGACAGTTTTGCATGCACGCACCAACCTGTACGGCAAACAGGTTTTCTACTGTACAAATAACTGTACAATATCACTGTATACTTGTACTGTTATTTGGATGGTATTTGCTGCAGTTGGATAATAAAAACCAACACTGTATATGTTTTAAGTAATAGTTTCTTTTTTGTAGGTGTGTTAATGATTTTGGCTGGATCCTTGGAATTTGAAAAAGGTCACAATAACGACATTCAGGAGAGACCAAGTGATAATATAGAATTACCAGAGGTAGGACCTGCCTATGCAGTTGTGGTGTAATTGAATTTAGAGATTTAATCCAGTACAAAAACTTTTTTCTCTCTTAGTTTGGCTAGGACTGGGCTATTCTAAAGGTCACCTCTTTCCAGTCACCCCAGGTAGTTCCTTTGAAGATGGCTTTTGCTCACTTAAAGTGTGCTCTCTAGATCACTCAAAATACAAAGTTCTGCATTTTTGGCTATACCATGATTCAATTGAGTGCCCTCCTTCCTGGAAGTGCATCCCCCACCCTCAAGTGTCAATTCTTTCAATAAGTGCTCTGATTTCAAGAAGTACCCCGTTCAATAAGAGCTCCCATAGTGAGTGACATTCAAGACAGTGCCAAAGAATATAGTACACTGATTAGACTATTGAATTATGAAGTCTTCTTTCTCATCTGAGTGTAAGTTTAAACAGTATGACTATCAGAATCCCTGCTGTTACATTTCTTGCGTTTAATTACCTGTTGTTTTTCTTTTAATTATTGTTTATCAAATTTAGATGTACATGCATTCAAAAAGAATTAAGTATCCCACCCCTATAAGTGTTCTACCCCCCAACCCCACTCCTCCACTAAGTGCCCTCCCTTGGGCTACCAAAAGTAAGTAGTGCTCTCAGTCTGGGTGCTAAATGAAATCAGTATGACTGTAACAGTAAATGAAATAAATAACTAATAAATACATGTAACTAATGTTTTTGTTGTTTTTAGTTGATGCGTGACCTGCCCAACCTTGGAGATAAAAATAAAGAGCCGCCCCTGTGCTACCCTTACAGCATCAAGGCAAGAGCTCTGATCCATGCTCACTTGTCACGGTTAGAGCTTCCCAGAATCACACTCAAAACAGGTAAGGTTCTAGGGATTTCACAGGGTATTCATGGTCAAGAAGATTTGACAGATACCTTTACCCGACCCATTGGCCAGGGTATCAACTGAAAGTTAGTAGGAAGTTCAAGGCTATGCTCTAGAAGCACCCAGGTACCACAGGTGACTAACTTTTGCCTTTGGGCGACTGAAAAACTTACTTTTCTCCTATAAGCTTAAGTGCTGGGCAACCAGGATTGCATGGTTAGGAACCTTTGGGCTCCTCATAAATTTTGCCTGAAGTTGGTTAGCTGTTTTCACAGCTTGTTTGAGCTCTCCAAGACTTACGCAAAAAGTTTCTATAACTCGCAGAAAATAATCAGAGAGAATTTTCTACTCATTTCTTGAATGAATTAAAAGTTCAAAATAGTTTTCAGTGTCTTCTTACTAGAGTTAACTAAAGGTAATATGCTGTCAACCAATAAATGTACTGCACAGAATCTTGTGTGCCTGCAGCAATGATTACATTTATTCATATAATAAAAATGTATACCATTTTTTGTTTTTGGACTTAACGGTTTTGCTGACTATATCACAATTTGCATTTTCTCTGTCCTAGACCTTGATCTAGTGCTGCAGAAGAGTCCATTCCTCATCCAAGAAATGGTCAATTGTGTAGGACAGCTTATAGCTATGGCTAAAGCTGGACGAAGTAAGTGGAAACTTCCATTTTGAAGTTTGCTTATCAAATTCTCTCTTTTTTAGCCTCCATTCTTAGCTTATAGACCTCCCAAGATATGCATGTAAATAACTTCTTCATGGAAGGTGCACCTTATACAAGTTGTGTTTTGTGTTGTACATGTACAGATGTACAGTTGTTCAGCATAATCCCTAATACATAAAATGGATAAATTACTTGTACAAATTCACTTGGATGCTAGTGAATTCCCAATATGGCATTACTGCGTAACATTTTTAAAGTGATCGATTTAATGATAAAATTGTGATCATATAACCATGGTTACCTGTTTGTTTACTTGTTGTCTCTATAGCCCAAAACATGCCACGACTTGAGACACTTGAGAACTGTATGCGTGTAAGTCAAATGGTGATACAGGGACTCTGGGACAATAAATCTCCCTTGTTACAACTACCACATCTTAATCAGGAGAATTTACGACATTTCAACACTAAAAAGGTATAGTAACGATCATTTCCAAGTCAGTAGTCTATCATGAAATTATTAAGTACAGAGCTTTCATATTGAAATTCTGTGACTGTCTTGTTGTCTGGCATCAAAGACTAATTGTGTGGCTCTGGAGCCGTACAATCATACAGATGAAGCCATTTGTACTAATTACATACCTTTTGACTGTAAATAACATAACAATTTCTTACACAAACCATTTTATGGCCTGTCGGTGGCCACTTACACAAGTTTGCCTCCAGGTGTTATTGATTATGGATTACTCCAGCCTATTTTACTCCTTTAAGGTAGTCTACATGTATGTCAATCTTTACAAGTTGATCATGACATTATTTCTTTACGCTTTGCACACAGAGGAGTGTTCGTTCCATTAGACAGCTGGCATCCATGAAAGATGAAGACAGGAGGTTAGTTACACAAATGTACCTGTTACAAACAATTATCACAATGGTGGAATTCCTGTTATTCTTGTGTACCTTGCCTATATCAATGGTATATTTTCTTGTCATGGCTTTTTGCACATTAATGATCCATAAATTATGCAGAGCTCTTTTCTAAGAAACGTTTTTAAAAGGCTTGGGTGCGTAGCTGATGTTTATCAACAGCAAGCTGCTTTTTGGTTAAATGATGCTTTTTGGTTATGTTTATCTTTCCATTGTTAATAAATTATCGTATGTACTGTTTGAAGTTTCGATTTTTTCAAAATTATATCTGTTTTCTGGATACTTATTAAAGGACAGTTGTTTAAAAGTGCAATTGTGGTATGTCTGTTAAGACTTCGCTCAATGTAGACTAGTCATGAAATTTGACCCTACCCCATTAATTTTCAAGGTCCATTGGTGACCATATTAACGAGGTTTTACTGTATTTCAGATCCCTTTTAAGGAACCTGACTGGCGAGCAGTATGAAGATGTGATCAATGTTTGCTCCATGTTTCCTGTCATTGATATGGTAGTTAAACCACATGGTGAGTATATTAGCTAACGCTAATGCTGCTAAATTGTGCAATGCATTGCCACGCATCTCTTCTTATTATCATTTAGATTTCATAAATTTTATATAATATAAAGAGTCCATATGGAACAGTCAGATGTATTTTTTTGGCCTAGATTTCAAGTTGAACCAGAAAGATTAGGAATTATTATCAATTTAGATAGCAACAGTACCATTGGGACAGTTTTGTTTTAGTATATTTTAAGTAGTTAATAGATTGCTGTTAAGTCTCATGATTTACAGTATGTAGTTGAAGTTCAAGATGTTTTTTCTTTTTTCACAGTCCTTGATGATGAAGACGATGCAGGTCTTATTACAACTGGTTCAATAGTGACTGTGTCAGTTACAGTAAAAAGACGAAACCTCGGGGTGAGCTCCTTTTGGTTTAAAACTGTAATAGTGTTATTGTGGTACGTGCATATTGAAGCCTGTTGTTGTCTATTTTTTGGTTGGGAGACTTATAATTTTTTTTATCAAATGGTATCTGTCAGGCCAGGTATCTTAATACTGGCACTACTGTAGCCTCAAGTTGGATTTGGGTTGAGGGTAGAAGACGAATGACATTTTATGCTACTAAGTGGAAGCTAGTTTTCACAAGCAAAATCTGCCACGTTTCCTAAGTTTGGTTGAGTATTCTTTTTAAAGATTTCTTTTCATTTTGTTTGAGAAATACAGGGCGATTAAGTTTTGAGTCGCCTGTAACTTTATTCTTCACAGCCCTAACAAACTTGTTACTTTGTGGGTAAATTCTATCAACAACAAGCAATTTCACCCATAGCATCAAGGGCCAATCAAGCAGACTCAGCCATAACAGGTTTTACAGGTTACAGAATGTAATCACAGCCCTGAAATAGAGGAAACCATGGACCATGAAAGGTCCAGATGGTTTAATGTGCTACTTTCAGCTAATGTTGTGCCCCTCAACATTTCATCATATGATTTATTCTTGTAGGAATTCTTTGAGGAGGATGATTTAGATGATCTGCCGCCCCTTGAGAGTGTTCACCCAAATGATACAATGGAACCTAAGGTAGATTACTACTGTTTACTATTAGTAGTCCTCTATTAATAATAATTGTTTTTAAATTTTTGCATTTGTAGTCCTTTGTATGCATTGTATGCAATATGATAGAAATTTTCTTGTCACTTCCCAGTAGGAATTTTAAGTGTTTATTATCTAAAATTGCAATGAAATCATGATAAAAATTACAATAATTTTAAAATTACTGCAGGGATCACCCCAGGCAGGTGGACAGAAGGTTTGGCAGAAAAACAAAAAGAAAGGCAAAAAAGCCAAGCCACAAAAACAACAACCCAAGAAAAAACCCGTGAAACAACAGCCTAAGAAGAAAACTTCACAAGAGGAGAAAGAGGTGAGGATATTGTGATAAAACTACGATTTTATTGTTCAGTCAGCTGTTCACTTGTCTCCCTGACAGCCAGTGTCACACAACGCTGCTAATAAACAATTAGATTATGAGCTCGAGATTTCTATCGCGTGATAGTTGACGAGGGTGCAACCCGAGTCAGCTATCGCGCGATAGAAATCGAGAGCGAATAATCTAATTGTTTTAGTATAAATCTACTAGTAGTTCAAAACTTTATCTAAATCCTCTTCATAGACACTTCGAAAACGCCAAGAAGCTGCTGTCATTTTGTTAACAAGGGCACACTGCTACGCTACTCACCATCTAGCACAGAATAGATAGTGAGTAGCGTAGCCAATCAGAGAACGGCATTTGTGACAGAACGCAAGTAGATTTATACTAATATTGCATAGAAACGTAGCATGAAAAGCGAAGTAATGGTTGCAAGGAAGGGCTGGGCTGCTTAAGTTGGAATCCAAAACATTCGGTAACCTGTGGAAACAAACGCTGTGCCTGTGCTTTTCAATAAGTGTACACAAAATCTGACAACCTCATTCCCAGGTTTCTCATCTTCCCGCCCTACCGCAGCGGGAAGATGAGAGGCACTGGGAACGAGGTTGGAAATCTGAAAGATTTAGAATGTTCGTGTTTCATCACTTTCTCAGAAAACCCACGAAGAAAAAGAGGAGCCAAGTGGAAAAAAGAACAAAAACAAGGCGACCAAGCGGGAAGAAGACGAAGACAAAGAGGAAGAAGACGAGGAAGATGTGGAGATGGAGAAGGAAGAAGCAGACGAGGATGAAGAAGATGAAGACGATGCTGAAGAAGAAGAAACAAACGACAAGATTGAAGAGATCAAAAAACCGAAAAGAAAACCTGATCAAGACGAGTCTGATCTGGATAGTAGCAGGTATTATTTCAGTTGGTCCTTCTACATTTACACTCTTTTTTTTATATATAAGAATATTGTTTTTCCGGCCCAGACTGAATATATGTTTCTGCCCATTTTAGGCTGAAAATATTGTTGTGAATATTCTTAGATTACTACGCCGACACAACGTCAGATTATGTTTCCTATTATGACTTCGCTGACATTGAAGTAATTTGGAGCCAGACTGCAGGCAATAAGTACTAGTTATGCAACGTTTTCGAGTGGTATATCATGGAATATCCCACGTGCCACCTGTATTTTCTTGCTCTAACTATCTACCATGTCAGTCAGACCAACCCAACAAATCTGTCCTCCCTTACAAGAGAAGTTTTCACCCTTAATTCATGCAACAGTTTTTTGAATACCTTTCTAATGCCTTTGTGCTTTAGCCTCGGTGAAGATGAGGACAGTGACGCTGCCCAAGAAGACGCTAGCGCTCGGGAATCCGAAGACGAGGCCGAGTGGGACCGACTGCAAGCCGACGTCAAGGGCCGTGATCCTATCTTGGATCCGAAGTCGAAAGAAAGTCATATTGTCCATGCACCTTATTTCCCAGAGGTACGAACCGATTGGAATATTGTTGTCCTTTCGAAGTGAGGCTAGTTCAACTTTTTTCACTTCTTTTTTTATTGCTATTTCTACAGGAAAAGCAAGAGTGGTGGTGGATATATGTCACGGATCGCAGGAAAATAGAGCTCATAACACCGCCTCAACAGATATTTAACCTAAAAGAGGAAGAAAAGGTAGAGTGTGACCTGTCACGCAATCTTTACTCTCGTCATACGAAAGAGGTAGATTAGGTGTCTAAACGACATCTAAACAGAGACGTAGCCTGAAATATCAGCGTCTCTTCATCCTTCAAACCAGTGTTATTGTTTGAGTGACATCACAATTGACATTTCAGGCTACATAAGGCGAATAACTTTACTTTGGATTGTTGAGAACAAAATGCCCTGACCTGTTTAGGAGAGGCGTTTTCTGGTGACTTTGCCAAGCTGTCGCAGCTTATAGAACATTGTGAACTGTCCACAGGGTAATGCAAAGCTCTTTTGTGTAATACTGAGCTTTCAAACAGGAGAGCTTGTTTACTTGTACGTGATTTAGGTGATATGTACTATCTTAGTGTCGTACGCAGTCGTCGTTTGGGCTTGTCAAACAATTCTGGACTGCGTGAAGAAGCATAAGAAGACTAAACAGGTTGCTGTCTTCACTCTTTCTAGGTGGATCTGAGATTTCAAGCTCCTCACAAAGCCAAAACGTATCATTACACTGTCACGTTACGATCCGACTCTTACTTAGACTTCGATGTTCATCAGAATTTCAACGTGAGTAATTTTTTTTTTGTACTATGCTTGTTAACTGGTTTGGGAGTTTGAGCTGGGACATGCGTCTATCCAGTTCAATCCGGGGGGAGTTGTAGCACTACCAACACCTAATTGTACAGCTAGGTACCAGTTGAGAGGACCCAAATGGACCCTTTGCATGAACTGGTCACATGGTGAATCTACCATGGTGGATGGCAAAAGAATGCAAAGCGACTTCAACCAGTCAAGCTCGACTCTTCTTTGTTTTCGATGTCCCAGTGATGAAGTTCGGCATCCAACATAGCCGCTTTTCTACCTTGTGGCCGGGGCCCATCACTTTGGTTACATCGAATTGGGAAATTTGAATAGAACTACCATTATCCTTCGATATCAGTACAAAGACCTTATCTGTTTTTGGTTAAAATTTTGTGTGAGCGTTTTAGAGTTTTAATTTACAGGAAATTTTCAATCTTACAACTAAGCAAAATGTGTTAAGTGGCTGGCTTCGTCTACTGAGGTTCGCGTTTATTTCCTCGGCCTAACTCTTAGAAATGCACAAAAACCAACAAAATTAAGGGAAAATCACTGTAGAGTTAGTGAAGCTGATCTCTATTGACCTATTTGATTTTCTTTTTTGCACCATCTTTAACCCTGATGAAATGTACTAAAGGCACTCCGCAAACGTTTTCAGATCAACGTAGAGGAAGCAAAAGAGGTCAAGACGAAACAATGGGACTTTGATTCGGATGACGAGGATAAAGATGACATAGAGGAGAGTGGAGAGAGTGAAGAAGAAGAATATAGCGACTAAAGACAAATAACTAAATCAATTTGCTGCTTCCCTCTGGAGTTTGTAGACCCCGCCCGTGAGAGAATGCTTCCTGAAAATTTGGGGTAGGGACTTCAAGAGGGGTGTGTACTGAACTGTTCACAGAAGCCTGACCTTTTCATCTAGCTACGATTTTTGAGGACTTTCTTCAGAGCTGATTTGTTAGTTTGACGATTTGTACCCCTAATCGGTAAATTGTTGTGTTTGGTTCTGTACTTCTCTGTCAGAGAATACTGATATAGTAATTCCAGTTTAAAAACGCCAGGATGTTCGTTCTGTTGAAACGCTTAAGTGCAGAGAGCCACGCGATACACGGTGTACCAAAACGCTGTTGTTATTCCAGTCAAAATCTGCAAAGCTAGAACAATTAACTTCGGAAATACAGTAGGGCACATTTAATGGCCATAAATTTACCCTACGGTATTTCTTGTGTTGTAACTTGACATATCAGATTGTCGTATATTCTCCGTATGGCGGCACCGCCACCNCCCCCCCCAACTTATCTGTAGAAGTACTCAACTCAATGCTCTAAAGGTTTGGACCCTTTCTTACTCAAGTGTCCCCAGACAATGGGTGGTAAAGTAGTATTTATTCTGAAGAGAGTATCGATTTTGAAAGAGAGTGAATATTTTATTATATTTTATTCCATTGGTAAATCTCTTTAAATACGTGTAGTTTGTATTAGACGTCAGAAGCCCGTAGGCAGTTTGACTGAACCATTGGAATCTAAGTCGTAATAACAAGGAAAATGTCATTGGCTATTGAAGACTCAAAAATGACCAATTTACACCGCCCTCTTGCTACTGTACTTTAGGCAAACAGCAAATAGAATACAATGTTTGAACGGAATTCGTGTGCAAAGTAAAAAAAAGTAAAAAACAAAATAGCTAAGAAAACATATTGGGATAACGTACATGTCCTTGACCCTACTCAATATGAGCTGTTCCAGCTTAACATCACATGTTCACATCACATGTTCGTTGGACAAAGTAATAGATCACGCGCTACATATAAACCTACCATGTGACGGATCTTTGTCTAAGCACTGGTGTGGTTTACATGTGACCGCTGACATTCAGTGCAGTTCTTGGATGTTGGTCGTTTAGCGTGAAGTAAGCTCATCACATTTCCTCAAAGTTATAAACTTTCTCTATGTTTTGAAAACGTGCACCAAATAATATACAACCTGACGTGTGTGTCGCGATCATGTGGAAACGGGTTTAAGGAATCTAGTTGTGACCTGGGAGGGTAGTGTTAGTATTATCTTGTTAGACTGTTCACAGTCTCTTTATTTTTTAACGCACGCGAAGCACAAGGGGGGTGGGGGCGGGGAGGCGAGCGAAGCTATTATTTGCATTTTCCACCTCCTTTCCCGCCAAGTCTCCCGTTTTGCGCTAGCGTCCAGTTCTCTCGCGATTCTAACCGCGTGTTCAACGATCGAATAAAAATACGAGAAAATAGAGGGCTGTAAACAGTCTATTGTCATGTTTGTCACCCTTACAGCCATTTTTGGGATGAAAAACGTCGCTTGACCTATGTCGCGAACTCAACGAACAACGGAGACTATTTCGCAAAATTAAAAACGTTTTACTCCTAAGTAGATGTCTGTATTAAAATCATTAAATTAAATCGTTCGTTAGCCAATTTTCTGGAGTGTGCAGCTGCATATTATTTAAACCATAGCATAGATACAGCCAATCAGAATACGGGAAAGCCGTTATACACTCAACCTTCCCATCGTGCGCTGCAATGACCGTGTTTGTATAATCCATTGCGCGGTATAATATAGTTATGCAACACTTTCCTGTTCCATGGAATATCCTACTTGTCACTTGTATTTTCGAGAAAGTACAAGTGACTCGAAAGCGCTGATGAAAATGGAGACTCGAAATCGGTTTCAAAAGTGATGTCATTTGAAAACGCATCGTTTTGAAAATGCTCCGTTTCTAGTGTAGACAGGTGAAAACGGAGGCTTAATTTATAGACTGCGAGCAGTCTTTCTTTTCCTCGAAAATCCGTGGGGAAGAACGTAAAACAAGTAAGCGTGCGAGCGTGATTGTTAGCGTGACATGCTTGCGGCGATGCCGCAGGTCACACTCACAGTCACGTTCGCTTTGCGCTCTTCCCCACAGTTTTCGAGGAAAAGAGAGACTGCTCGCAGTATACTTAATTTAGAAAGCGGTGACGAAAAAAACGTGATATACTGCTTCCATCAGCGTTTTCGGGCGTTTTAGGCGAAAATGCATAAAGTATGCGCTTCCGTATGAAAACGCAATAGTGTGGACAGGTGAAAACAAAACGAAAACGCTAGTGTGGATGAAAGTCGTTTGCCTCGTTTTCTTCGAGATGAAAATGGAGACTTCTGAAAACACATTAGTAAGGCCTTGGCCTCAGTTGTGCTCCTAACAAGCCTAGAGAAAACGAGCCCTGTTGACTGAAGAAGTGTGCCAAGATAAATTCAATAGAAAACACGAAAAAGCTCTCTAGAGTTTTTTCTTGTGTGAATTAAAGATATTTTCTACATGTGTCGATTAAACAGTCGTGAAACTTTGGAAGGTAGAATTCGAAATAGCTGTGGAATCGTTAAAATGGGGGGTTTGGGGTGCATTTCCAAATCATTTCTCGTTCTCTTAAACTTTCACTTGTGTTTCTTTGATTTAGAACGAAGAAATTATTCTTCAAAGTTGGCTTTTTTCCTTCTTTTTTTTTACAAAGTTTTATTTGTGGCTCAAAACAGTTTCCAGCATAAATTTTCGAAAATTTAAGGTGGTTCTGAACCCTAACTACAAAATTTTTTTGAACTTTGCCAATAGTTGCATCTTATCATACTTATCAAAAGTTGATAATATAAAAAAAATTCACCGTGCCGTTTTTAAATTATAAGCCCCTAAAGCTGTAATCAAGGGTGTTTTTAG